ATTCTGCAAGAATGGGTATACATCTTTAGAGGTATGAGAGAACAGGGTACAAAGTTCCTCATCCTCCCTTGAAAAGGAAGGATCCTTTGATCAGACGGGTGTTATGTTTCGTGGGCTATAGCCCAACGGTTGTTGTCGGGATTTTTGTATCGGTTCTAATTGCGCGTGATTGGTGCTGTTGTTATTGTTGTGCGATAGATGTCGCTACACATCGAATAACGACTAATAAAGTATAAACATTATGTAAAAATCAGACAATCCTAATGTTGAACATAACGTCTGCATTGGCATACCAGATTGGGAAAAGTTCAATCCGGAATTTAATAAACGTGCTTATATATGCAAAAAGATTACTCAATAACGTTGTTATATTAAGTTATTTTACGTTGGCCTGTACAGAAGCATCAGATAACCTAAACAGCCATAAAGTAAATCAGAAAATTACACAGCGCTGTTTTGTATTCACACTCAATCTATTCTTATTTCGCCTGTTTGGTTATCATAAATCTTTCGTTATCTTCTACAACGATTTCCATTAACATTTTTATTCGATATTTTACATTAACGTGCGCGTTTGCGTTTTGACTGTTATTCGTTCCGATAACTGTTGCTAAATCAGTTTTGTTGTTGGTTATCTAAATGCATACAAAATGTTCTGTGCAATTTTGTGATTTCTTACTTTTTAATTTATCGAGTTTTCTTTGGTAGAGACTTAATCTGCAATTTTTTTTTTGTTATGACCTTTCCTAAATCTGCTGAACCATCTATTTCTATTCATATGATATGCAAGAATTATTTTTTATTTTGGAATTCTGTGATAACGAAAAACAGCTCCTCCGTTTTTACAAGCCAAACTAAGCGTATACAAACATGGCGTATACACATTACATCAACTTGCACAACTAAACTAAAACACTTATTCCAAAGATATATTTGTCCACATATAGAGTTATATAAAGCAGGGTTTTCTGGCAGCGTTGTCCCGCCAGACATCGTAATGGGAATAGGCTTGCGACCGCCGAGTGGGGTTTACTCCACCTCACTGTACATGCGAAATGAAGCTACCGTTTACATACTATTTGTGCTGCGTAGAATTTTGAGTGCATTCAAACTGAATACTGGTTGGTTATGAATACAAAGAGTAGAGAAGTCACATTGTATTAGCGTTGCTGCTATTCGTGTAAAGTCACAGTGTATGGGTAAGTTTTTAATTGATCAAGTTGTTAATCGTTTCAAAATGTTATTTACGGTAAGAAATCAAGGCTCACACTTAATACAAAAAAGTTTTTTTTTTATGTAATAGGTCGGCAAACGAACAGACGGATTACCTGATGGTAAGCAACCAGCGCCGCCCATGGACACCCGTAACGGAGGAGTTACGAGTGCGTTGCCGACCTTTGAGGGATTAGGGATTTGGAGACTTAGGAACTGGGGAGAGATTGGGAAGGGGAAGGATTGGGCCTCCGGTAACCTCACTCACACGGCAAAACACAACACTGTGGTTGTTTCACGCCGGTTTTTCGTGAGGCCGTGGTATGACTCCGGTCGAGCCGACCCATTCGTGCCGAAGCATGGCTCTCCCACACGTAAAAGTGTAATATAATTCGTATTTTAAATTTTACTAGTTTAATGTTCGTACAAATGAAAAATAAACAGAGCAACTGTTTGTTTTAAAAGTTAGGGTACAAACGATTCGTAACATTATGAAAAGATTAACCAAGAACAGTGATGGGAAAAAATAGGGGAATCAATAAATTATAGTAATCATTATTGTTCATAGATTTTATTTATATGTATTATCTATGCATTTTTATCCCAAATACAAAATGTCTATTCTACGAACTTTGCAACGACATACATACATTCGAGTTAATGGATTAAATGTCATTGTGGTGTCGAAATGTAACCTATCCGCACACTTTTAATAATTTTTGGAAGAAAAATGTACTCTATTTTACAGGATAAAAAGGGTACATTTTCAATGACCCTTTGTTTTATACATTTTCCTGCTGAAGTAGATTTCTTCGATCATTTATTTTTATCTATCTTTGAGATCTTTAAGTCTGTTTAAATAGAAATTTCTTTAGATTGAATTATACTATCTAAAACCTTATTAGGTTTTTCATAGAATACATTATTTAGTACGGCTTTCTTTGAAAGGAAAATTATAATGAATACCTTTAAAATTTTATAAAAGTAGTATTGATAATTGTGTAGATGATAATTGTGTCTGACATGACATTTGTCTCTTCTCAGATACATTAAAGGCTTTCTTTGAAGAAAAAGATGCTGTTAAAAATTATTTTACAGAAACTATATTATGCGTATCTAAACACCGAAAAAGTAGACTAAAAGTAAAACCAAAAAACAATATACATATAAACGATACACAAATCCTCTTTTCATCCCACTCTACGAATGACCATTAAGGTCCACCAAAACTTCTAATATACATAACTATAGTTTGATAAAACCACATAACAATGGCGCAGACCACACGAGAATGTTCCCATACAATTGTACTGCGTTAATTTTTTGTGTAGCACAGAGGCTTTTAGGGGACAGTGATTAATAGTCCAAAGAGCCACATGTATCTCACTTTTTATTCCTCGACTGGTATATCAAGACCTCCCCCACCCCCTTGATCCTTCATACTATCCAATTAAATGGGGGAGTTATGAACTATGATCAGAGGTCTAACGATGCTGGTTCGTGAGGTGTTTTTAAAAGTGCGTTCTGTAGGAGAGCTCTAAAGGAAATCGCTTGTGTCACTGCCACATTATTAACATTAAAGGCTTTTCGGAAATAGCTGGTTTGCTCTCTATTTATTTATTTTTTCTGAGAATTTTCTTTTATATCGTTACTTGCAAAGTCTTATCTTGCCAAGTCTAACAAGTCCAGTAACAATCTTCTAATGAATCTTACTCATCAGTTTACTTGGTATTAAACTATAAATAACTTATGAAAAGCAAATGCTTACACTCTACACATATTAATCCATTAATTAAATATGCTTCGGCAATGCGTTGGCTGGACCGTAACGGCTCGACCGGAGTGATACCACGGGATCACAGAATACCGGCGTGAAACAACTATAGCGTTATGTCTCGCCTTGTGCGTGAGGTTACCGGAGGCCCAATCCATCCCTTCCCCCAATCTCTCAATCTTCAAACCCTACTCACTACCCGAATGGTCGGCAACGCACTCGTAACTCTCTGTTGTTGCGTGTATCCGTGGAGAGGTGCCTTTGTACAGCAGTGTGCATAGATTGACGATGTGTGACGTGATGCAGTAACAGCAAATGAGTATAACTAAATCTAAATTAGCGAGGACCCTTGTCATAATGATACTTGTAATATGATATATAACACTTTTGCATATTACAAAAGCAGTTATTGCAGTTTCACTTAAGATTTTCTTCATAGTGCATATGTCTTTTATGACTAATGTAACTAAATATCCATTATTTTCATATAATATTTTCTTTAAAAAAGTCATCCTATTTGGTTCCAATATAATATTCCTTTTATCAAAGAAGTAATATCCGCTTGATGTTGTCCCTAAAATTATCTTAAGCTAATGGTCTGAACAAAACACAAACAGAAAAATAAAAGAATTAAAATTGCGAAAAACATTTCATTAAGAAAAAACAAAAACAGTTAATGGTATGATGTGAAAACGTTGAGATATTATACTGAAAATATATTTAGGTTACGTCACATGATATTTTTGACAATGTTTTTAATATTGTGTTTTTTTTTCTCCTGTGTCGTTGGTGCGTTTACAAACATATAGTTTTAAATGCACATCAAACCCACACATGTGTGGTTAAGTACCTAAGTAAAACATGCAAAGGAGTTTATTTTCCATTTGCTATGGATCGGCATTCGGCCAGTATCGTGTATGGTGTAAAGCAACGATACAGACTATGATGGAACACACCGGCTCATAAAATTATTACCCAGAATATATACCCAAATATATACCCAGATATTATGCTATTATTTTTATAGATGGCAAACTATACTACTCCTTTTGCGGTTATGTATCGTCGGTGTAAAACGCAAATATATTTAATATCCAATTATATTTGACCATAACTTATTTAGAACAGACATTACCAAATCAACATACCTACTAACAAAATCTTCATTACAAGACCACTCACTCATTTTCACACCACCATACTAGCAACGTAACCTAAAGCTACTCTAATTCCCTTACTTTTCCCGCCCATTAAAAGCCGCAGATAAGCTGTGTCGCTGTCAACCGGTACATCGTTAATTTCTCGGGAACTCGAGTTTTTATTGTGCGTAATTTTTCCTTGCCCACAGAATATATGGCTAACACCAACGACATGTAAGAGAATGACATTTATCTTAGCGAAGCAATAAAACTGATGCTCCGTTGATTTTCTCCGGACGATTAATTAAGTACTTAAGACTCGAACTAAGTTTCTCTTTTGTTTTTCTTTTGTTACGTATGTAATAATATTGGGTGGGTGGTTTTATTTGTTGATTGATGTTGTTTCAGTTTAGTATGTGAGAAGTTTCTTTGGTGATAATTGTTTTTGTTTTTTCTATTCATATTTTTTTATGACGCTCATATTACTTTATTTGCCGATTTTTGCAAGACAAATGGTACTAATAAAAAATAAACATGGCAGCTGTTTTACCTTTAATTTTTCACTGTATTACACGCTAAAAATACATACCCCATTCATACAAGACCAGGAAAACGATTACTCTTTCCTCAAAAGTATCCAAACCCACTAAATCCTCACCTGATTCACAGCTAAAGCACTTCAAAACCACTATAAACTTAAGAAATAACAGCTGTTTCATTTTCGAATCCTAGCTACCTGATACCTAACATATGAAGGCTTAGAGCCCTTAACGTGTATACAGCTTAAGGTAGGTACAGATGCGCGCGTCTGCACCCTCCCGTAGTCCCGCTGTCCCGAAGCTGTCCCTCCCCTCAGTGTCAAGTCGACTGTCGGGGAGGGCACTCGCGTTTGGGCGGCAAATCCGCCCACGGAAAATTCGTAACGCCGGTAAAATTTCTCTCGTGTGTTGTGCAGTGATCTAAAGACTTTGTGATTGAACTTTTTGTGCTATTCATGGATCTTTTGGATTGATGTAAGTGTTCTTTGTTGGAATCGCAATTATGGGTAGTTAAAAAAAGTTTTTTTTGTAAGAAATATAAAAATTTGGTACATGGAAATGAATGAAGAAACGGTGGATTTAAAAGACATAGTCAAATTATTCGTATTTATTAAAAATAATCACAAAATAAACCAAAATTATAAGAAAATTTAAAATATATCATAACACAAATCAATAAATATATTAGATTTGTATTTTGTATAAAATAATAATTACCTAGATTACAAAAAAAACAAGTATTTAAAAATTCGGACACAACGCACAGAAAGTTATACTTATTAAAAATAATTATAGAAATTTTATTTCACTGGTTGTACAAACAATAATTATAAACCGGTGCGTGATTACAAATAATAAAAACATAACCGTGGCGTGATATTATTTGAAAATGGACTGTTTAATTTTATTTATTACTTACTCATTTATACTATTTTGATTATAATTTGTCAAACATGTGTACTTTATGTAAATAACATTAAGAATTAAAATCAGGTGACAATTAGTGGTAATTACTTATGACCTTATTTATCACGTGCATTTAGTATTCCATTTGCAAGTTAAATGGGAAAAAAGTTATTTTTCAAAATAAGCTTTTAGAACAATTTGTATTTGATTATTATTATTTGACATACATACCTACATAATTATACTTATTATGATACATTGAGTAACCCAAATTAATTGTATTGGACTAAAGTGGAAAATTACTTTATTTTTATGTATTTTAGAGCAAAAGAAATGATGGCTTCTATAAACAATAAACAAGTATTGCTAATTAAAATGATTTATGTCTTATAAACAATAAACAAGTATTGCTAATTAAAATGATTTATAAAGAAAGACAAACAGTGTAAAAATAGGATCATACATCCTTTCTATTCTTAATTTAAAACCTTGCTGCACACTAGGATCTTCTCCTGTGTCGTGGGTGTGCTTACAAACATACAGTTCCACATATACATCCCAACCAGAACCAGAAGAAAAATTTGTGAATCACACAAAGAGTTGTTTCGTGCGAGAATCAAACTTGGTACACGTTGCGTGGTAGTCAGTTGCAAAGCCATCGCAACTACCGTGCAGGTCAAATCAGGTTCAAATCTGAAATTAATATAAATTTTTAAGTTATTAATTTAATATAGACAAAGCTGTGATAAGGCTTAAATAAATTGAATTTGTGCTGATATTTTACACATTTCAATGCTAATCAATTAAATTATGCCAAATCCCTGCTCATTAGTATAAATGTGAAATTCGTAGATTAACGTGAAATTTTGTTTTATTCTGGCAATTTTCACAGATGAATAGATTTTAATAGTTTTGTGGTGTTATTATTTTAAACAAAATAAAGCGTATAATTGAGTTTAAAATACAAAATAATCTGTTTTCATTTAATCCTAGATTCACAATAGCATTTGCAGACAATTCAATAGATTCAATTGCAAAGGGGACGGATTCATTAAATAATTTGTTTTTCCACGTGCTGTAGACAAATAAGAAAACTCTTTGTCATTTTGTTGCCTTTGTATTTTTTATACCTACCTACTAGATTACCTATAGATTAGATGAGTTTATTGCATTTATAGTTTGGTTTTATCAATAACTGAAAGAAAAGTAGTAAAGGATTTAATACACCTAAAGATTCCTTACAGAAGGATTTAACGGTGATAAATTAGTTCAATTCATTTGTCTAAAACATAACTTAAAAATTTATTTGAAAAAATACTAAATAGTTACTGTTGTATATGGAAATAGTTAGAAAAAGATTCACACCTTTAGTCACCTTTAATTTTTGAACCGTTCACGTACATAGGGGCCTTCATAGAGCTCCCCTCTCATCAGACTCTATTTCTGAACATGGTACCTACTGATGTCAAATATTCCATGCTAGTGCTTATATAAATACGACTATGTTTAGGACATAGCTCCATACTAAATTGTGACTAATGAATTCGTACCCGTTAAGAATTAAGTGATACAATTTTTTTAAAAGATCTTGTGAATCTTGTAATGATAAACTAATTTTAGTCATCAATCTTAATTCAAAAAGTGTGAACGAAAAGAGGTGCGTAACGACCACACACGTCTTTTTAAAAACATTCCATTTAAAAATTCAAAATAAAAATATCTAAAAATTAAATAGAAAGAGGTAAAAAAACATGCCTCACGCAACACAAAACGAACATTTCTACGACTCGTGAACACAAAAGTTAGGGTCATCGCCAAATAAAAATAACCCTCAGAGATGCGACTCACGATTATTCAAATATTATTCTTAGACCCTATCTGTATCACTTGTACCAACAACCGAATAACACGAATTTTAAAAAGACCAACATGAATTATTGAGCCTTACACCCAACACCGGACACAAACCATCAGGAATAAAGTCATTTAAATCTATTGTCATCTTTGGTACATCACTGAAGAAAACAATTGGGACATGTACCTCAAAAATAGTAACCATACAATATTGAATCTTATTGTCAAGTGGATAAAGGTGCGTGGTAAAAAATTTGATGCGTTTGAATATTTGTCCGGGTACAAAGAGGTAGCGATAAAACAGATAGCGAGACACAAAAGGCTTATAACAAAAGATAATATTGCGTATAAATATGTAGGTTAACGTTTATATATTCCTTGTTGTGTAATGTATATTGTTTTGTATAGTAACTCACTTATTGGTTGATATTGATACTACTTACACATGTATAAATGTACATTTGTAATGTAATTACGCGGTTGAATAAAAAGCACAGGTATTATCAGAGAGTGAAAGTTGTGAATCTATTTCTTTCACTCTAAGATTTTGTTCTTTGTCGTAGGTGCGTTTACAAACACCCAAATTCTAATACACAGCACACCAAACCGAGTCACAATAAAAAATTGTTCCGTAAGGTCTCGAATCCTTGACACGTTGCTTAGTCACTGCACCAACCGTGCAGTCAAATTATTGTAATAAATATTTAGTCCGACAGTTAGATACTAGATGTCCTATAAAACCGACATAGAAACGTTAATACAAATCAGAATCATAAATTTGAAAACAAAGGTTAGATAAAAAGAGTTCAGAATTGAATTGAAATCAAAATAACGTTAATGGTTTAGAATTCGGTAATAAAACTCTTTTAAATGACGAAAAAGAAATTATAATATAGGTGTTGCTTAGCTGAGGTCTTGCTTGATAATTAATAATCAATATACAATTACCAGCCACAAGACGTCCACTGCTGAACATAGCCGTCCTCCAATGATTTCCTGATAGACTTGTTGGAAGCTACCTGCATCCAGTGCTACCCTACAATCTTAATAAGGTCGTCCAGTTTGTGGGTAGACGGCCTGCGCTGCGCTTGTCGGTACGTGGTCTCCATTCGAGAACCTTCCAGTCTTAGCTACCGTCGGTTCTTCGAACTATGTGCCCTGTTCACTGTCACTTCAGCTTGATAATGGTCACTACTTATAGATGAAGAACTTATTTTAAACACATTTTTTAAGTTAAATAATATGTTTCTTTTAACAGGTAAATACAGAATATACATACTTAAACACACATAATGTATCTATATTTATTTTTTTGTTTATGTAAATCTCCTATTTTCTAATTTCCATAATATCTGACCTGTAAACGATGTTTTGCTATCAACAGGAAAATATATAAAAAATGTTTATTTATGTACATAATTACTTCGGAATTATTATTCTTGTACAAACAAAATTGACTTACAAACAACGTTATTCGTAGAGAGAATTTATAGATATAAAAAGATAAAAGATAAGGAAACTACAAACAAATGAATTAAGTGTCATTTAATGTAACGCCTACAGGACTATTAAGAATTTTTCTGACCAAATGGCCATTTCAATTTAGCAAACGAAGGGACTATAATATATAACTTTTTATCAACTTTCACATCAAGCCGGTATCTATTACGAAATTGCGATTTGATAAATCGCCAAACATTATTATGGGCGGCGAAAGAAATGGACTCGCTCAACTTGAAACAGTACTGAATATCCCACCATATTTTAGGAGAAAAGAACTTTATGCGATAAAAAATAAAGACCAGTATTAGATAAACGTTGTCGGACCATGTAAAATAAATATTATGAAAGTAATAGGAAAACATAATGCCACGGAAACTGTGATGAAAGCGGGTCTCTTTAATAAATTGACGGAAGGTTGAATATTAGAAAACGGCTCTTATGAGCTGCGTGGAAGGGAATGGGCATATTTTTCTATATTTGGAGCCTTTAAATATAGCGTTAAAATATGCAATGAGTTTTACTTAGCATAAGAAGTTTTGAAACTGATTCCTTTTTCGGAAAGAATGCCGGTTATAAATAAGTTTAACAAAACCATCCATTTACGAGTAGTTTTTATTTTTGATACTTGGCTGTGCTGTGAAAATGTTGCATTTACCGTTATCGTTAACTTGTTTTTCTCGATGTTTATTAACTTATAGATATTCAATTCATTAAAAATATTCTACATTATCTGTGCGGGTCATCTGTCTTGCGTAATAAAGGTCTATTATGGAACATAAATCTGTATTATGAGCTGCTACCTACATACAATGATATCGAATCATGCCTACGGAAGTCTGCAATTGCATTCGCGATCACTACACTGATACTTTAATATTACTCTCATTTCATCTCTATCTAAGCTGTAAAGGAAAAACTATTATTTGAATCCAAAATAACATATACTTTTTATCTCAAAAATATATCCGTATAACACCAAAAACAAATCATAAAAGAAAGAAAACTAATTACGGTACAACGCAAAAAACCCATCTTGGAAATCCTTTTCTGAGATAGCTCAAACATATATTATGTTTTAGTCGTGCCACTAAATCACAAGCATCAGTTTTCTTCGCCAAAGAAAAGATTATCGCGTGATGGGACCCCCGCCTTGTACACACGCGATATCAAAATTTCCTTCTCCATTACACAGCAACTTTTCTCACGGTTCT